AGCCAAAAACCTACCTGACGTTACACGAGTTTCTACTGCCATTAGCGACAGACTCGCCGAGAGAGACGTCAACACTAGAGACTAACTAACTTAAATTAATGGTATAATTTGAATATTACTAAGAATTATATTCTACTGCAGGGCTTATTACCAGTGAGAGCAATAGTATTTCTTGGATAGTTTATCAAGCATTATTGATTTCTAAAAAAATTATTTATGAACTAATGTTTTTACACCTTCTGACCTTAATTTGTAAACTTTTTTATTAAGATTCTTTAATATCTAATGAATTACTTATCAGAGTATTGTGTCTTTATTCTTTTAAAGAGGGGGGAGATTTCTTTTTTATCAATTTTTAAGATCATGATAAAGGGAAATAGTTTTAGTACCTAGCTTTATTGATTTTATTTCAATTGCTCAAGACCCCAGGTTCAATTGTTACTACTTTTCTGAAGTAATTGTATTAGTTAGATGACACAATTTTAGTTATTTATTTTTTGCACCCAAGAAAATAAAGTTCTATCATAATCTAAATACAATTCTTTTATACATAGATGAAAACCTAATATTGTTGTTTTTGCCAGTATCTTGAAATATTTTCTCATTTTGATAGCTGCCTAAAGGATTACAATTTGAAAAGCAGATAGAATCCTAGGTCTAATCAATACCTTAAAACCTATAGCAGAATTAATGATTTAGTTTTTTAGATAATGTCTTACTTCAAACATAGGCTGCTTATTTAAAAAGGCATAACTCTTCCAAAGTTGGGCTATATTTTGAGAAGAGTTTTTCATTTTGACAAATATTATTAATTGAAAATCTTTACTAGAGGTAAGAATAGTGAATATCACTAATAAGCTTAGTAGCTTTTTCAATAAGGAGAGTCATATTAAAGGTCTTGCTAAGTGGTTTACAGTTTATGGTTCTTTATAAATTATGGATCAGAATCAAAAAACCTTATGAAGAAAAAACATTTGTCTATCTTGTTTATATTTATATATATAAGAAAGAATAAAAAAAGAAGAAGAAGAAAAGGGAAAGTAAATGGGGATATATATACAAGTTCAATTATATTAAAACAAACATCTTATTGCCTTGCTTTTCCTATTTGAAACAATAACATCATTAAAGTTATATAGTATGGATAGGGACATGTTCTTATTTTGTTTATTTGTTATTTGTTTATTGTTGTTCAATTTAGATTTTTAGTCAATGGAAACCCAGCAGATTCAATATAACCAAAAATTTAGAGTTAAACTGAAGTAAGTAAAATTCTTCAGAAAAACTAAAGAATTTTTGAAAACATATTAGAAAGGCTGCTGTAATTATGTTGTGAAGGTTCTGGAGACCAAGATATCCAACAACCTTTTAGATCATCTTTTTTGATAGAAATACTAATATCATGGTAATGAAAGAAAAGAAAGAAATCAAATAAACTGTCTTCTTTTCTAGAGAACTTTTTCTTGCCATCAGAGCTTATATAGGTAAAAGTTAAAGAGTCTTCTTGTTTTTACTTTGTTGAAGGAATAAATAAAACAATGGAGAGTATGAAAGTATTTTGTTAAGATTTGTCAAGTTGTATTAAGAAGAGTATATGGGTTTTGTTAAAAGTAAAGACATGTTTTAATTTAAATACCATTTTGGAGTATTGGCCAGAGAATCAGTAGGAAAAGTCTGAAAATTTTTGATAAAAGTAATAAATATTTATTAAATAAATATTTATTTTAATATAATTATTATTATTTTAAAAATGACCTGTATGTTTATAGTATAGTGGTTAACACTTCACAGGTCAAATCACAAGATACCAGTTCAACTCCATGTGAGGGTGGTTGAATAGGAATTAATATGATATCTGGCGCCACAACCTGTATAAGCGCTGTTTCTCATAAGAAGCCATTTCACACGCTGATCCAAGTAGGCATTGAGATTGTGATTTCCAGAAAAAGACGTGGCGTAATGATCGTCTGGTTGGTGTTATGATGATCGCCGGAAGTTACAAGGAGTATAAGGTATCCGCTTTCGGTAAAGATGACTTGGTGATCATTTCTCTATGATATCTGGTGACTTTTTTTATAGGATAGCCGGAAAGGTTCTATTCCAATCCAGTAATAAATCACTTTGACAGTTACTTATATTGAGAAGGCAGCCCAGCAATAAAACCATTAGATAACCTTGTGAATACCTAAATGAGCAATAAGCCTGATAACATAAGTTCCTTGGACATTCTTGGGTAGCTTGAGAGGAGTGGAAATTAAATGAAAATCAGTGCATCTAGCTGCAGGTGGTCGGATCTGGAAAAATTAAATTGTAGTATTCTATTTGCTAAATATAGGCACTACCTCCAGTGTCTCAAAAATTTCAAATTCCCCTTAATTTCACATAGTGTCAAATAGAATATCTAGTTATATCAATAGGATGTATTGCAGTAAGACTTGAGTCGACAATATATATATAGATAGGCTGTACCCAGATGGTATACCTGTGGGTGAATTCTAATTGAGGGATTGTAAGTGTAGACAGAAATATATAATATATGTTGTTTATAGCACAATTAATAAATTAGAGTAAAGCTTACTTACAATACTTTAAAAAAAAATTATCACTTTAAAAATTTTTAATTTTTTTAAAATAAAAATTTCTATATTAAAAATTTTTTAATGTGATTTAATATTGTCATAAGCCTACAAACTTTAATTCAAACTAATGATGACAAACTCTATTATATAACTTAAAAAGGTTAATTCCAAACTGATTTATTTCAATTTAAAGTTTAAGAATCTATCTTAAGAATAATATTTTTTTGAACTTAAATAAACTAAAATGACAAAAGGTTATTGATTACAAATAATAAAAATCCAGGTAAAAATTGTTAAGATCAAATATATTTGGTAAGAATTATTAAAATTAAATTAGAATTCAAGCAAGAATACCAGTTCTATAAGTGATAAAAACAGTAGTGTTATGCTATATTAGTGGCATATTCTGAGGATCAGTAATAACATATAATTGAAATAATCAGAGTTAATCTTTATAATAATATTTTATACTATATTGCTTTTTATAATATAGACTTAGTAGGTTAAATAGATTTTAAATTAATAATAGGATTTCTTTTATATAAAAAGTTCTATCTGATATATAGGCATATCTTTGGATATTTAAATGAACACATGGTTGAATAATAAGTAGTTAATATAACTAGTTTTATAGCAATATATATATTAGGTAGTATTAATATGCAAATTAGCTATAGAGACATAAAGGGTATCTATTGTATCAACTGATTTTCAATTAATTTGTAAAGATATTTGATATTTGTTTGGATATATAAATATATTAATAAAGATTATATGTCTTGTGTATGTTTCACTTTAAAAAATAATAATAATAATAATTTTTAAGTAATTTTTTATTTATTGAAAAAACTATATATTATAATAATAAATTATTACTCAATTAATAAAATCTTGAAAAAGGTCTTACTTAATATTTAATAAAAATAAAAAAAAATTAAAATATTGGATAGTACTTTTTTTATTAAATAATATAATAATAATAATAATAATAATAATAATATTTTATTCTTGATTCAATATTACCTACTGTATGTACAGCATAAACAATAAATTATTATTGAATTGGTCTTATAAAGCAAATTGGATAATTTGTTCATAATAGAAATGATATACAATATATCACTTTCCACTATTATTGAAAATAAATACTTATATATCGATTAAATAAGTTACTTTATAACAATCATGCCTTTTATTCTTATTTACAAAAATTTATGTAAACAAAAATAATACGTTGCACCAAAACAGGAATGTTTTCATTGGCAGGCATTGCGGCTGTGATACGGATCTTATAATAAGACAAAACGCCCGCAAAATTCAATTTTTTTTTACAATCTCCGTTTTTTTCGAAATAAAATATGCCTAAAGTGAAGACTGAATCAATCACTTCGAAGATGATGAACAATCGAGCAAATTCGTTTTCCAACAATTCCGTATCGTCTAACGGCATTAAGAATGTATCAAGAACACAATCATCTTCAAGCTCTTCTCAGTCGGTTGACGAACTGCTGCAAGGATTAGGAGCAGAACCACTTTCGACTTCCGTTAGAACCACGACAACACAGGGTTCCCAAGAATCACAAAAAAGCGCAGAGGTTTTCAACTCACTTCTAAATAGACTCAGCCAAAATCCAAAACCTGATCTTCAGCTTTCTTTTAATAGTCAACCGTTAGCTCCAAATCCAATTTCCATTTTAAATGAACTACACCAGAGTTTAAAAGGACTTGAACCTCCGAAGTACGATTATATTAATGAACTTTATGGATTTATCTGCGAACTCGAAGTTTTCGGAAAGGTTTACAAAAGTTCAACACCAAGAGGACGAAAACAAGAGGCAAAGGAAGACGCCGCACTTATTGCAGTTAATGATATTACTAAACAAGAGGGCGTCGCAGACATACTGAGTAAAGATCTGCTGGATAGGTACAACAAGGAAATTCGAAATGCAGGAAATGAACCAACTTTCATAACCAAGTCACAAGCATGGTATCAAAAGCAAGAAAGTGAGTGGCCAAATAAAAAGCCTCGTACGATCCTCCTAGAGTTTTGTCAGATGCATCACCTACCACTTCCGACTTATGCCGGAAGACATGGCCCCGATGGATTACCTATTTTTGATTGTGTAATTGGAGAACGTGTTTTTAAGTCAGATCGTAGAGCATTCGTCAAAGTTGTTGACGCTAAGGACTATGTCGCTTCCAAAGCATTTACAGAATTATATGAAGAACAATGTGAATCAGAACGTAAGAAGGAAAGAGTACTCAAAAAGAATAGCTTTGGTCTACGACGACCTGATGCATCGTCTGCTACCGTTGATTCGCTTCGTGCCTTACCGAGCATAAATGAAAACCAGACAGAATCAAGTACTACGAATACCAACTCGGTTGCAATGCCTTCTCGACCTGCTGGTGATATTGACACAGTCAGCCTTGTGTTACCCGCTTTAGATGAAGGAACACCAAAGATTAAAGAAGAGCTTCGAATTGATTCCACGGTACCACAACCTCCAATTGATTCCACAGTACCACAGCCTCCAATTAGGACGGATCAATCACTTGTGGTCTCAGCATCATCGCCATCTAGCAATAACTTCCATCCATATCATCCCAGTATATACGCGCAAAGATCCACCCAAAGTGTAGTTCCAGTCAAAAAATATATTAGTCTACTATGTGAACTTTGTCAATCAAAACGATGGTCACTTCCGATTTTCAATTTGCAAAATAGCTTGCGTGGGTTCATGGGAACTGTCACTGTCAATAAACATACGTTCAAGGGGAATGTACATAGTAAAAAGTCAGAAGCAAAAGAGAGTGTTGCCGAAGTGGCTTACAAGTATTTTACGGGACGCGACGTGGAAAATTAGTTGTGCCTTTCTGTGGAAATTATTGTTTACCTAAGCGTTTTCGAGTCTATATATGATTATTAACGCATTAAAGGTTCTTAAGCATAATGTTATTAATCTTTTTTTTTCATCTTTTTGCACTCTATTTTTACAAATACCCGAATGGTCGATTTCCAAGTCCGCATACTGTTAATTCAACGGTTTACATGATTTCAATCAAGCCATTGATGTAATCATAGCATAATTGCAGTCAAAGTCATGTGATATATTGATATATGTACTGAAAAAAAAGTCTGACCTATTTCTACAAGTAAAATTTTATTTGATGTCTATATGGAGTAAAAAAAAACGGGATATTGTTAAGATGAAGCATTCATGTATTTATTACTATTACGAAGATCCCAATTTACAGAAAATTTGAGTGCCAATAAAACGCAAAGTTGGTCTCATTCAGGTGGACTCCTCCAACTCCATTTATCCCAAGACTTCATATACTTCCTGATCATATTTATAACTATTTGTTCTTTCTTGTACTTTTCGTCCTCTCCTTCAATAACACCCGCTTTTTCATTTATCTTTCGTCGTGACATTCTACTCAAGCATTCAATTCCTTCCTCAACTTCTTTAGCGTTTGAAAATCCAATTATGGTGCTTTTCACCTCCTCATATTCGAGCGCAAACTGGATTGCTAAATGTGACAATTTCAAACCCTCTTTTTGGGCAAGCATGGCGCATTTACTAGCTGCCTCACGTAATTCCGGTGGAGCCGGATGCCAATCAGGAGCAGGTGCTTCGCGAAGTAAGCCCATGCTTAAAGGCGAAGCGTTCATCACATAAATTACACCAAGACTGTGAAAGATATTGATGCACGATGAGAGACAGGTGTTGTGAAGACAATAGTGAGAGTAACTGAGAACTACGTCGACTGGTTGACCACGGTCATATTGGATTTGTGAGATTCTGATAAGAACATCTAACGGGTATCCTAAGTTACACCCGAAAATAAAAATCAGCGTGGGCAAAGAAAATTAAATTAAGTTGTATGAATCGTCCTTCCGCATACCACTTATTCCAACATATTTGATTTTACCCTCTTGCTAATAATAAATTAATAAGATTAATGATACGATTGGCCATAAAAAAATTTCGAAAAGATTAATTTATATATTACCTTTAGTCTAAACAATTCCTTCAGTGCACCACCTTCGCCCACCACATCTTCCAAACTCACAAATTCCACATCGTGACAATAGACCACGTCAAAGTAATTGGTGTTCAACCTCCTGCAACTTTCTTCCACACTCTCCCTAACTCGTTTCGAAGAATAATCGAAATCCTCCTTATTGGGACCATACCGTCCTACCTTCGTGGAAAGGTAATAGGAAGAACGTGGATATCTGGTACGAAGGGAATTTAGGATTGTGCCGAGGATCTCTTCACTACGACCGTAGTACGGTGAGGTGTCGAATTCATTGATACCTTAAGTGTTTGGGAAGATTTTAAGAGAAAGAGTGTAATAATCAATGAATGAGAATTGTATAATTATAATTACCAAGATCCAAAGCTCTCGTCACAGCCTCCAATGGCCAATGCTTTTCAACAGGATTATGCCAACCATTGAATATCGATGTACCAAATGATATTTTTGACACATTAAATGCTTTTTCCTATTAATAGAAAAATTTGTCACGTTACATATACGTGAAGATGATATAATTGAATTTTGAAAACCTGTTACCTACCATGATTCTTTTGTTGGAGACAATTTCATCGTATACATTTTTTTTAATATAGGTACGTACGTACTGATGATCAGTGCTCAGCCAACAAGCCCAGGATTAACGATCTACTCTAAATTACACAGAGGGGTCACACAAAAATTTGGATTGTATTAAATTATACCTTTGACATGCTTCGCACCAACAAAAGAGTGTTTGAATTTAAGTAAAAAAAGTAAAATAAAGAAAAATTTAATATACCCTATTACACGAAAATGATCTTCCGATGGAAAGAAAGAATGGCAGAGTAAAATTGATTGCGCAGCATTTTAAACCAATACTGAACTATTAATTTAAAATTACCCCAAAGCACACATCATACTTGATTTTTCTAGATCCTCGATTAGCTGTAAGATCGGAGATCGCTACTGCGGCGGGAAATAAAATTGCATTTAAAAAATTTAAAAAAAGATCCGCGTAATGTTGAAAGATTCTTTTCACTGACATGTCAAAATTATTAAAAACCTCAGATACCGAAGAACAGACCTGTGGCATGTAAATTTTTTTAAGGACCTTTTGCTTCAACCCTCTATTTATTTCCTCAATTAAAATAGAACGTGTTTTTTTTAATAGTTGCAAACAAAAACTTTCAAAATATACGTGTCCAAAATGTAACTTAAGGTATTGTTCGCTAGATTGTTACAAGAATGAGGTACACATATTCCCTCAATTTCGACTCTTCACCTATTTTAATCAAGATTCATAATAATATTGTAAACTATTACGCGTCTCTCAAAAGGCACACATGGAATGTACGGAAACGTTTTATAAACAAAATGTACTCGAAGAGATCGGAAGTCAACATGTAGATGACAACCAGAAGGAAAAAATGTTGGAGATGTTGAGAAGATTTGAACAAGAGGGTGACGAAATGGCGAGAGAAGAATTGTTGAGTAGTGATGATGGTAATGGTTCGGTTTTATAAGATCTCCTGTTAAGCTTTCATGGAACTGACGCTGGACAATTTAATATTCTACTTAGAAAAAGAGGATTTTGTTGCACGATTTAAAGATATCAATATTGGTAATGAGCATTGATTCAATGGACAAATATTCCTATTTGGATTTTTTCGTGTCTAAAGTTTCTCGATCACAATAATATAGAGTCTACTGACTTCAAAACAATCTGGAACAAATTAACACCACACGAACGAGATGAATTCAAATCAAAAATAAGTAACACAAACCCTGATAATTTACTCGAGCTTACAAAAGAGTTGCCATTGTGGAAACCGTGGTGGGAAGATTTGACGACAAGCAAATCTCAAAAAATAATAGAACTCGATGGGAGCAATGACAAAGATTCCAAAAGTTCATCAGAGGTCAGAAGTGTGAAAGATACAAATAGACCGCTCATACTAAAGGATATAGGGAGATTAGAAGATTTGACAAACAAATCACCGAATCCAAATTTGGCTTTTAATTTGGTGAATATTTTGTATCCTAAATATCATCCAAATTATGTGTTTCTATATTTTTTCTGATCATCCGTTGATATATTAAAAAATCTTTCTATCCTTAACTTTTATTTTATGATTTAGATATGCGTACGCGTATGCGTGCCGTATTTTTAACGGTGACATTTATGAAAATCCGGAAGAATCTATCCTTGTGATATGGTCATTATCCCCAATCCTGAGTATCAATGAAAGTTTAATGTATGAAAGTGTATCTCAGGCTCTTGCTATAAGCAATAGTATCATTCTTCAGGTAACATACGTGGCTTTTCTTGGGTCGTCAAAATTGTGTTAAAGAACATATTTTGCTTATTAGCGATTCAATTTGTACTATAACCAATAGAATCCAAGTTACACTCAGCCGCCAGAATTTTTACATTTAATTTTAAGTGACATCATTCATTTACTTACATCCTTGGATAATGTTCTTGCTTCACTTTCTGATTTATACAACCTCTTTCATCAACCGTCAATCAACAAAACCTTTGCTTCATCCTCTCCAACCTCAAAATCATATAAACGGAAAATATTTCTAACTCAAAAGAAAATATATTTTTATCTGGCATACACGAATTCCCTGAGACGGACTGATGAAGAAAAAAATGAATTAGGTATACTAGAATTTATGAAAAAGGGGTTGGAATTTGAGAAAGAGAAGAGAATCAGTGAGTTCGAAGAATACCAAAAAAATAAAGAAAGTGTTGAAGAGGTAATATGTGGTGGTAAAGTAGGGAAGGATCGAAAAAAATTAAATTTTTGCGAGGGTGGCGACTTAATCACTGAGATTTGATTATTGAGATTTCTTTATATTAATTAATATTATTTTAATATTATTTTGATCACAAAGTTTTTAAATCAATTGTGATATTCACGTTAGTTATTAATTGAAAATGTTTTGTTTTTAATTAAAAGTATACGACTTATCAAAAACTTATTAAATATTACTTTACCAATTTATTTGTTTATCTATTTAACCTCAAGTAAAAAATATATTACAAAATTTAAAAATTAAATGATTTATGGATTTTTTTTTAAAAAAATTTTTATTTCACAAATTACGAATCATTTAATATTCAAATAACAAAATTCAAATAATATTTTTAAAAATAAAAAACCAAATATCATTTATTTTTTAAAAAATTTAAATATCTAATCTCCATAATTTTATACATTAAAGTTTAACGAATCGAAATCTTATATCTTTATAATTTAAAATATGATAATGTACAGTATGTGAAAATACTGTATATCTTTAGAATAAAAAGATTCGTTGTGAAAATATATTTAAAGTTTAATAAATTTCATTTTGTTTAATCGAATATTGCAACTTGAATTGGAGAAATTTATAATTTTCAATAACTATCCTATAGTTGCTTGGACATTATATCAAAAAACAATATTAGTTATTTTTTTGTATAATTAAAATAGGTTTTATAAAGCAAGTTAATATTATAAAATATTACTTGTTATTTAAAAAATATTGTTACATTTCTTTTGTATAAAAAATTCTTATACATTGTATATATAACAAATAATAATGTTTATTTACAAAAAAAACATTAATAACAAATTTAATTTTGATAAATATTGAAATTAATTATGATACTATAATGTTAAAAATACAATAGGTTATAAAATATTGTTTATATAAAAATTGATATCGAATTGCTAATTTTACAGTATATTGGTTTTTGTTAAAATTACTTGAAGGTTTAATATTTTTTATATTAATTTAATTACTTAATTTAACAAGTGTAATACAATAATAATTGACTCAATATATCATATCAAAGATATTGTTACTTTCTTTATTTATATAAAATGATAGTGTTTATTTGCAAAAACAAAAAAGTTTAATACATCAAATAATATTATATTATAATTTTGATTTTGATTTAATTATTTTGATTAACTCTTTTGTTAATATAAAAAAATAAATATTCTTGAGATATTTATTTTTATAATAATAAAAATTTAATTATTTTTTTTAATAATACAAATCTTTTAATTTTGTAAAATAAGTAATAATTTTTTTAAATAAATAAATATATATATATAATATATAATATAATACAAAAAAATTAATAATCTTTTTATAATTATATTTTAATTAATATTTTAATTAAATAATTGGGTTTGTAATTTAATATTTTATTGTTATATTTTTTTTTGAAATATGATAAAAAAAAAATAAATAATAATTTTAAAATATGTAAGAATAATAATTTTTTGATATATTTTATTTTTAAAGTTCAAAATATTATTAAAAAATTTGATTCAAAAATATAATTATAAAAACTTTTTTAAAAAAACTATCTTTATTTTTAATTTATTAATTTATTAAAAAATTATATATATAAATGTTAAAAATAATTAAAAATCTTTATCCTTTAAATTATAATGCAAGCAAATTTGTCTACATATTTAAAATTTTAATAAGTTTTTAAAAAATTTTGTTAAAATTTTAAATATTAATTTTTATAACTTATTTACTGTATATTATAAAGAATATAGTTTAAGATATTATTAATTAACTTTATTAAGTAAAAAATTAAAATTTTATTGGAAATTTTTCAAATAAATAACTTTAAACTTTGTGTTTAAAATTTTAATATAAAAAATTATATAAAATTTGATATATATTTAAAATAAAAAAAATATTTTACTTTTAATACAAGTTAAAATTTTTATAATCAAATTATTAAAATTGTAATAATTAAAGTTATTTTTTATAAATAATTTTACAAAACTAATTATTATTATATAAATTTTAATTTAAAAAAAAATTTTTTTTTAATAAGTAAACATTATTTCTTTATTTGATTTGTATATGACAGAATATACATCAAAAAAAAAACAACATCTCTTATATGTAAATACACTAAGTTAAATGCTAACTTATTTATGGTAATTATATAACTAATATTGAAAAGAAAATTTAAAACAATATATTTTGTCAGATGGCACTGAGCAGCTATAAATACCTACTCAATATTAAAAGAATTATAATTATAATTAAGGAATAAAAATATTAGGCTATAAATATATTTAAAATAAATATATTTAGATTAAATAAATATATTAGTAATGATAAAAAGCAGATTGATGATAATATCTTCTAATAGATTAGGGTTAGGTATATTTTTTACTTGTGAGATATTCTTGTTATTTGGTTTAGAAGAACTAGATAAATTGAAGAGTTTGATATAGTTCCATTTGATTCCAGTAAGCAATGAAGTGTTAGCTATAGAGCAACATGGTTTTCAGATCATATAATAAAGTTAGGAATTCTGTTGCTACTTTAATCTTAATCCAGTTGGTAAAAGTTAAGATAGAGAATATTTTGTCTGTTATTTTACATAACAGTTTAATAACTTTGGTTTGTAACTATTATCTATATAGAGGACTTGATTAATAGTCTTAATAATTTGGTTAACTATTTATAAGGTCTTGATATATTTGAAGACATGTTGAATATCTTTAGTATAGAACTCATTCCTTAGATATAAGGCATCTAGATACTAACTGGAATAAAGTTAATTAAGTATATAACAAGTAGAAAGAATTCCTGAGAGCAGTTTGATTCTAAATGTAATTAAGATACTGTATTTGTTGTTTAATATTTTTGTTAAATTGATTAACAACTTTCAAGTAAAGTAAAGTATATATTCATTCAAAAGTTTAAATAACAAAAAAGCTTTTACAGATCATGTAGTTTTTCATAATACTAAAGATCTTCTTGCATTATCTGATATTACTGTTCAAGCAAATATTGTTAATTAAGGGGTTTTCAAGAAAATGTAATAGAAGATTGTTTCATTAAATAGTTTTTATTGATGGTAATCTGAACTTGGATTTGATATATATTATCTCTATAAACTTTTATTATATATAATAATTTATTTTCTAAATAAGGGAAAAGAAATTAATTTTGACCATTTTTCTTGGATACTTTGGTACTAATTGAAAAATTTTCTTATTGCTTCTAATTTTAATGATGGAATGGTATAGGATTTATTGAACAATATCAAATATTGCCAGTAGAATGCTGCCTAATGAAAAACAAAAATTGAGTAGTATTAGTATATAAAAAGATGATAAAAAAATAATAAGAAAAAGAATAGTAAATATAATTAATATATCAGATATAATATGTATATTAGGTATAAAATATATATCAGATATAAAAGATATATTAGGTATAGGATGTATATTATAAAGAAGTATATAAGCAATAGGAGTATAGATAAAAATAAGAAAGATTTTTGACAGGTACTGCGCAACTCTCATATTCTCCTATATTCTGTTAAACATTTTTTCTATTATATTATCTTAATACATTATACTTGGAAAATTGATACATGAGTAATAACTCCTGGATTTTCAGATCTATTAGTTGATCCATAATACTATTTAATAGCTTGAATCAAATATATATACCTCTTTTGAGTAGAAAACATGCTCTATTGTTACATGATATAAGACATGTTTAAGTGACAGACTTACCAGATTTTCATATCAACAGTGATTTAACTTTGATATTGTTTATAAATAACTTGTTTTTATAGAATTGAATATAGTAATGTTGCTACATTTCAATTTTCTATATTTGTATTTGTGAAAAAATACTTGTAGAAATATTGACTTTTTGAAAAATACATTTACTACTTTGTGATTAGTTAATTATTTAATCAATTATATTAAGCAAATGGTATTTGAATCTGTTAGAGAAATTAAAAGACCTTCACAGTATTGAGGCAGACATGCTAATAAATGAACTTAAAAAATTTTTTAAGTTTGTCTAAAATCAACTTTTATTAAATAAATAAATATTAAATACTATCAATAGATAATATATAATTAAAACTAATATTATATAAATTTTTAGAAAAATATCAAAAAAAAAAAAAAAAAAAAAAAACCCTTTCCCGACAAAACCAAAATTCTAAAAAATTCCCTTTTTT